AATGGGCCATTAGTTATTTTAACCCTTCAGGACAAAATTCCAAGAACATTCTCACAATCATCTCTTTAAAAACAAGAACAAAAACAAAAAAAAACAGGACTGGTTGCTATCCTGACAGGTCTTTACCACCCTTGCAGGATCATTCTTATTTTATGGGAACAAGCAATTTGTTATATCCAATGTGGGGGAGAGGGTGTTTAGGTTTATTATTCACTTTAAGCACCTATCAAAGTGGAGAGGCAAGCTATAAATCAAATAAATAAATTTAAAGCTGATCTTTCAGGATTCTTAAGTGGGCAGGGAACCTCCACAAGGAAAAAAAGATTAAGTTTTGTAAACTACAGGAATCCTTTTGAGCTGGGCAGTGTAAAATATGTGTAATATGTCTGCTAAATAAACAAATAAGAATTCCAGCTGTGAAAAATTACGCCAGGCCATGCAGATTCCACATGAGGATTCAGTACTAAAGACACAGACCCATAATGCTTTTCTACTTGTACCACCTTTTCACAGCTATAATGCGTAAGAGGCAATACACTATAATGGTTAAGATTCAGACCAAGAAGATCTAGCTCAAGTATTTCTTGGACTATGAAGCTCACTAAATAACTTTGAGTCAACCAGTATCCCTTAATCCAAATGATGACACAGTTTTCTATAAGGGATAAAAAAATGAAAGGAAATGTTCATGATATTTGACTCTTAGAGAAAAAATGGGATGGATGGATAGATAGGCAGAAGATAATCAGGTGATTTTTCTCTCATCTCATCTTCTCTATAATAAACCTATAATGTCAGATAGGCTGACTTTATAGAGATAGCGATCATATATTAAGAACCATCCAAGATCCAATTCATCAATTCAGTGAGTTATGGCAATTCAAATAATCAGATTGGTTTGATTTAATCTGAATCCCTGAAAGGAATTGATCCAATTTGATTAAAAGTGTGTGTGTGAAAGTGCATCAAATCTTCAAGTTGATTCAAAGGTACCCAGTTCATTTCAATACATCAAATTGATTTGAAGATTCAGTTCAAAGGAATAATTCAATCAAACCCATCTCCAAATTAAATCAATTTAAAGATTCTATTCAAAAGACTGATTTGATCAAATCATCCTATTTATTCTTTCTTCATTATTTTAATTCTTTATTTTAAAAAATTAAACCAACTAATAGCTGAAGCTTTCTAGGCACTTTACCAAAATAATAATAATAATAATAATAATAATAATAATTTTTTAAAAACTAAAAAACTTGGAGTCTTGTTTATACACATACAATTTTTTGAATCAGAAATAAAAATCCAGGAAGCACCAGAGCAACAAGCAGAAGGAGCCAGATACCTTGAGAGTATATGCCAAATACTGCATGTTTGTGCAATTTGCACTCTTGCCTCCCTCAATTTAAGAAGGCTGATTGCCTAAAGACCCACACAATCTTGCAGACTGCCCTGCTTCAAAGCTTCCCCAGGTTCGTTCAGTCTTCCTATTTTGCCTTCACTACTACTGAACCAGGAAAATATCACATACTATTATAGAAACTAAACAATGGGGAGCAGAGATCGGGAAGGGAGGGTTGAAGAGGGGAAGAAGCCAAGAAAAAAGAAAGTGGAACAATTAGTCCCTTAAGTCTAGGCCTCCTTTCATCTGAGGACCAAGCAGGAATAATAGTTTTCTTCAGTGAACAGTGCATTAACTAGTCCTGTGGGTTTATGCTGAGATCTCATACAGGTGTTACCTCTCCACCTCAGTGTTTTACAATCTCAATTGCAAAACTTCTCTTTCATCCCAATCATTCACTTCAACAACTCTACAGCATAGGCATATATTATTTTTATTTTGCTGATGAAAGAAATGAAAGTGTAGCAGGCCAGGTGCACAGGCGAGTGCAGATATAGTTCATAAGCAAAACTGGGACTAGAAGGTTGGTATTAGTGTTGAGGACAGCAGAAAGTCAGAGGGATTAAAATGGAAAAGTTAGGAGGATTGTGCTCTGAGTCAAAAACAGAATTTTTAGAGGTTTGCAGACTGGATCAGGACAGAAAATCAAGTAGTCCACCATTCGCTGTCTCCCGGGGTCAACTATATCATCCAGGAAATTCAAAAATGGGACAGTATCTCTCAAGCAAGAATTAAGCTAACAAGAATGAGGTTACAGCAGTTCAGACCAGATTGCACAGATGAATTTTAAATATAAATATAAGTAAAATATATAAGTAAAAGCAATACCAAATAGAATCAATGTTTCAAAGTGAAGAGTATGGTAATAGCTGGCAGACAAAGTAAATTTACCTAGTCACAGACTATTGGAGATGGGGGTTAATGAATAGAAATATAATGCTGGAATTGTTGCAGGGAAAACATGTTTTTGAGTCACAGCAGTATGACAGCTTCATGCTTCCTGTAACATTAGGCCACAGCATTTTGATAAACTTGAGGTTCGAATAAACAGTACTGCATAGTAGACAACTTTTGCCAAAGCATGATAAATGCTCACGCAAAGCATTTCAAAATGGTTCTACAGCAGTCCAGCAGATTGTATTCTCCCCAAACTCAGAAACAATTCAAACCACAGATGTTCTCCAATGGAAAAGATGATCAAATTGCTATTGCGATTCATTGCTCAGCATCATTCTCTTTTCCTAATTACAACTCCTGAACTTTTTAACTGCACTTGTAATTCAGAGATACTGTACAACTTCATATATTTCAAGGAACAGCAACACATAATGCTTCCAGAATAGTTCCATGCAGTTATCTGTTAACTCAGCTTTCCCAGGTCATCAATAATTCACTTTCATATATGCCCTGAACTGGTTTTAGAACATGCTTTCTTTTTATCGCCTTTCTAAATTTAAGCAAGATGCAAAGTACTGGTAAAACCCTCCCCACACCTGTCTTCTCCCTTCCCAGCCACAATCACTCTTGCTTTCTTCACCTCAGCCCTCTTGAGGATTTTAACACTTCAAGTACAACATCAACCTGAAAGAAAGTAGATGTGGAAATAAGTCTACCTTTGAATTTCCTCTCAACAAGGAAAGAGGGCTATTCTAACTGTCTCATACTCACTTCAGCTGTGAAAATAACCACCAAAAAAAAAAATCAGCAAAAATATGTGTGATTACTACATGCTGTCAGGAAACATAGTAAATGCAACAGAAACTCCAATGGGCGAACATTTCATGAATGAAAGTCATTAGTAAGCACAAAATCCCCCACCTGTTCCTTGCCCTCACAATGCACACCTTCAGGGCACCTTGGAAACTCATCTGATTTCCTGAGGGTGCTCTTTCCCATTCATCTAGAAACACTTCCCACAGCGTTTGCAGCCCTATGACCACCTTGCTGTCTTGCCCCACTGAGAATACAGAAAACAGCCCCCACCAATGTGTCTCTTTCACCAACCAGTCTAGAACAGTTGACTGGCAGTTTTTCATCATCTGATCCCTGAAAACAGGCAATGCCAGAAATTGAAGCTGAGTGCTTCCGTATGCAAAGCATGTTTTCTCCTATTGCTTTCCTTCCATTTACTCCATGAAGCTTTCTAACCTCCTGAAGCCCACCCCCTCATGGCCTGATTCACTCAGGGGCTGAGGTGGCAACAGTTACTGCATACTGAGCAGGAAAGTAATACAGTGACAGAGAATTTGATAAATTAGTCCTCTCAAATTTCCAGGCTTCAATATCTCTGAGGTTCCATCACGGTGAAATCTGTTCCATTAAAAAAAAAATTGTTCAGTGGAATTTCACTCTGCTTAGAGGCACTGAAAATGATCCTTTTAACTATTTGGCAAGATGTCTCTCCTTATGTTGCTGGAAAACTATAAAATCACCAAAGAGGGGCATTGTGATAAAACAGTGCATTGCAAGAAGCCATTAGATCCTCATATGCCTCCCTTTCCCACCTCTATCTGCCCTGATCTTGCTGTTAAATGTACAATTATCCTATCTTAAGAACATTCGGTTTCTTCAACCCAAGTGTATTACACAAAAAAGGCGCAGGTAAGCATCATCATTCAGTGTGCAAAAAGGAACCATCCAGGAGCGCAGGCGTCATCATCTGCCGACACTGTCTCCCCATTCAAATACTTTTCAGGAATACCATTCTTTATATCAATCCAGCAGCCTAAGTCCACTTCATTTTAAAAGTAATTGATTCAAAACATGTTTTCCCTACAGAAAAAAGAAACAAGGCACCCTAGGCATTGGACTAATTGCCCCTTCTCTGCAACATGGCACAGGGTTGAAGCTCAGTATTTCCACTGCTGGCAGGACTGCCTGTGCAAAGCAGTGGTAGGTCACTGGTGAAGTGTGTGCCAGCCTTGTGTGTTTCTCAGGCTGGTGGCTCTCTTTTCTTTGGACTCCAGTACCTTTGGAATACCACTCTTAGCTGACCTTTGTCTCCTGTGCAACGTCTAGCGCACAATCAGCAAGGAATAATGCATGACTTTCTCTCCTCCAGCTCCCCCATCCGTTGCCATCCACCCCAATTGTCACATGGACCCCAACCATCCCTACTACGCAGAGAGCATTCTTTGACAAACGGGTCCAGCAGAATTTTTGGACAGTGGTTTGGAGTGTCGATGGCAGGGGAGAAAAGTGACAGTGAGTAGGGGGCGGAGGTGCCATGTGGCACTGCCGACGTATCCACATGGCTTCCAGCCTCTCCCAGCTGCCAAGTGCTGCAGAACCGTTGGGAGGGGGAGGGGGAGACCCTGCTCAGCACAGGGAGCTTCGCTTCTTGCAAAAAGTCCAAACCTGAGACAGCCTCGGCACCTCGCCCGCGGGCGCACGTACACTCCCCCTTCCAAAATAGCCGCGCCACAAAGCGATCTGTCCTCGCCCTAATCCAGCCGTCGCTGCCGACTTGCTCCAGCCAAATCCCCGGGATCCAGCTTGGAAAACCCGCTTGGCGCACAAGACGGAGGCACTGCGGCTCTTTTTCCCCAGCCCTGCCGTTTCTTCGCTACCGCGGCCGCGCTCGGTGTAACCAACGTACCGGCTCTGGCTTCTTTCCTTGGTCCAGCCTCTTTTCTCCCAATCAGCTGCCAACACCGCCTTGCCCAGACCCGGATCTACCTGCAGGACCCGAAAGCCGGCTCCGAGCCGCCCACCCTTTGCACCACTTCCCAGTCCAGCCGTCTCCTCCTCTAGCCCGGGCACTTTTTTTCTCTCCACCCTTCTCCTCGTGATCCGCCCACCCGGCCACCGCCTGCATTTTGAACCCGGCGCCTTCCCCGGGTGAAAAACAACCCCCTCCCCTCCCAAAATAGGAAGTCCCCCGAACTGCGCAGCGCTCAAGATCAGTTTCGGTCTCTTCCCCCCCCACACACACACCCCGCCAGACACGCGTTCCTTAAATCCGAGGTTCTCCCTCCCCGCCCCGTGCGTGTGAGTGCGCCCCCAGCGAATTAGACCCGAGTTGAGGGGGGTGCAGAAAGGTTGCGTTCTCCCTTGGCTGAGCCGCCGGTAGTTGCCTCGGGAGCTCCTCCAAGTGAGAGCCGGGGTTCTGGGGAAGCGCTGCGGATGATGGGTCAGGGTGGCCGAGGAGACTCTTCCTACTCCCTGCGCTCCCCAACTCCTTCCTCCTGGCTTGTTGGTTTGGTCCTTTTAATTTCCTCATCTGCTCGGAAAGAGAAAGAGAGAGGGGAACCCACCCTTGGTCCGGAGTTGGCGG